TGGAGTTAGTGACTATGTGGTGATAGTGATAGTGAGGGTGTAGGGACGGGGATGGTGACTCTGCCTGAGGTGAATGTTTGATTGGGATTGGTTTTGCAGCATGAGTTCAGGTTGAACACCAACGTGATGGCTGGGTTAATCCGCTGCCTAGCGGTAAGCCCCACTGGACGGTCAGTTGCAGTGGGATTCTCGTCTGGATACATCTACCTGTTGGACACTCGCACTGGGCTCCTCCTGAAGGTGTGGCAGGCCCATGACAGTGACATCCTTCAACTCAAGGTACACCCTGAGCCTCATCTCTGTATCCCCAGCATTTGTTTGTGGGGGATTTGATGGTCGCTATGCCTTAGAGACCCAGGGTGGGGGCCCTGAGGGCATGGCGGGACCCCTGTTGGCAGACCCCTCGAAGAGCTGCCCGCTGCACCATGGAGCATTGTGCGGTGAGTGGGCAGTGCATCAGGCCAGGAGGAGACCATTCAGCCCCTCAAGACTGCTCTGCCATTCAATAGGATCATGGCTGACCCAACATACCTCACGTCCGCTTTCCTGCCCTTTCCCTGTAACCCTTAGATTCTTGATCAGTTGGGAATCATCGATCTCAGACTTAAATATACACACGGACTCTGCCCTCACAGTTTTTGTAAACTCTCAACCCCCTGAGAGCAGAGACTCCTCCCCATCTCAGTCTGTTATTGGCAGCCTTTTGTTCTGAGACTGTACCCTCTGGTCCCATGAGGGGAAACACCCTCTCAGTATTCACCCTGTCAAACCCTGTAAACACTTCAGTGACACCACCTTTCATTCTTCTAAATTCCAGCAAGTAGAGTCCCAATCTGTTTGACCTTTCCTCATAAGACAGTCCCTCCATACCATCCTTCTCTGAATAACTACAAACAAAATTATATCTCCCCTTAAAAAGGGAACCAAAACTGCTCACACAAGGCTCCAGATGTGGTCTCACCAGCACCTTGTACCTTTTGCAGTAAGACTTCCCTACTCTTACACTCCAACCCACATGAAATGAGGAGCAACATTCCCTGGAAGTTCCTGATGAGCAGCTGCACCTATGTGCTAGCTTCCTGTGTTTCCTGCACAAGTTTCCCCCCAGATCCCTTTGTGTTGCAGCGTTCTGCAGTTTTTCTCCAATATTCTGTTCTTTCGTTCTCCTTTCCAAAATGAACAACTTTACACTTTTCCTGCATTATACTCCATTTACCTATTTTCCCCCACTAACTTAATTGATCAATATCTCTCTCTCTAAGCTGTTTGTGTCCCTGTCACAACCTGCCTTTCCACATTATTTTTATGTTGTCTGCAAATTTGGCCACAGTGGATTCACTTCCTTCCTCCAGTTGTGGTCCCAGCACTGATCCCTGTGGAACCCCACTGGTCGCCCCTTGTACTCCCTTGTTTCCTGCCCATGAGCTTACATACTACCTCCAACACCATGGGCTCTTTTGACTTCATGTTTAGTGAGCTACCCTGATGAAAACCTCCTCAAAGTCCAAAAACAGCACATCTACTGATTGCCCTTTATTCACTCTGGTTAAGACATCCTGAGAAAACGTCTCTAAATTAGTCAGATGCCACTTCCCTTTCATCAAACCATGCTGAGTCTGCTTGATTAGACTGATTTTCCAAATGTGTTGTAATTATTCCTTAAAGATTGATTCCAATACGTTTCCAACAATAGGTGTTAGACCAATTGGCCTATAGTTAACCTTGCAAAAAAAACAAAGTTGCTGGAAAAGCTCAGCAGGTCTGGCAGCATCTGTGAAGGAAAAAGCAGAGTTAACGTTTCGGGTCCAGTGACCCTTCCTCAGAACTGTGGTTACCTTTTGCTTTGCCGTCCCCCCTCCCTTTCTGAATAGGGCTGTCCCATGAGCAGTCCTTGCCCAGAATCCCACGATTTTTGGGGTGGGAGCCTGACACAGCTGTGACACTCCCCCCGATCCTCCCTTGCCCTCTCCCTTTACCATTCACCGGCGATCATACTAGTTACCGATTCTCCAACTGGTGATGATCGTGGCTTGACCACATCAGTTACTGACTGAAGATTGTCACTGGTTAGTGAAAACTGAGTGAATTGGTTCTGTTCAGGTTCGTTGTCTCTCTGGGATGTGGCCATTCCTGGGCAGTTTCCCGCATGTTACCCCTACTCTGTCCCCCCCCCCCCCCCAACCCCTGTTTGCTGCCCCTCCCTAACGGTCCTGAGGTCAGTTGAGAGTACACTGTGTTGCTGTGGGTCTTGGAGTCACGTTTCGGTGCAGACCAGGGGAAAGCTGTAGGATTGCTTGCTGGAGGCACCTCAGAATCTATGTCGGGATTTAACTGTGATCTGTCTGATCGTGCAGTCATTTAATTTGATGCTGATTGATCATTTCCCAGTTTTATAGTCATCGAGTCACACAGCACAGAAACAGACCCCTCGTTCCAACTCATCCATGCTGACCAGGTATTCCAAATAAATCTAGTCCCATTTGCCAGCATTTGGCCCATATCCCTCTAAACCCTCCCTATTCATATACCCATCCAGATGCCTTTTAAATGTTGTAATTATACCGACCTCTTCCACTTCCTCTGGCAGCTCATTCCATACACGCACCACCCTCTGCGTGAAAATGTTGCCCCTTAGGTACCTTTTAAATCTTTCCCCTCTCACCTTAAACCTATGCCCCTCTAGTTTTGGACCCCTCTACCCTGGGGAAAAGACTTTGACTATTCACCCTATCCATGCCCCTCATGATTTTATAAATCTCTATAAGGTCACCCCTCAGCCTCTGACATTCCAGGGAGAATAGCCCCAGCCTATTCAGCGTCTCCCTGTAGCTCAAACCCTCCAACCCTGGCAACATCCTTGTAAACCTTTTCTGAACCCTTTCGAGTTTCACAACATTTTTGCTATTGAGACCAGAATTGCACGTGGTATTCCAATAGTGGCCTAGCCAATGTCCTGTACAGCCCCAACATGACCCTCCCAACTCCGATACTCAATGCACTGACCAATAAAGGCAAGCGTACCAAATGCCTTCTTCATAGAATCCCTACAGTGTGAAAATAGGCCATTTGGCCCAACAGGTCCACTCCGAAGAGTACCTCACCCTGATTCATTCCCCTACCACTGTATTTCCCCATGTCTAACACAAACATCCCTGGACACTGGGTAATTTCCCATGGCCAGTCCGCCTAACCTGCACATCTTGGACTGTGGGAGGAAACTGGAGCACCTGGAGGAAACCCACGCAGACACGGGGAGAATGTGCAAACTCCTCACAGACAGTTGCCTGAGGGTGGAATCGAACC